CATTCACATGGCGGCGGTTCCCATGGGCACTCACATTCGAATGCCAATATGGAAGGTGAGATTGATCTAACGGGTATTGGCTGTTTGGGGCAAAATGAGGCTTCTGTTTCTTTGTTTTTGAAAACAGGCTTTGTTTGATATCGCTGTCATAATAATGGAGTAATTCTCTTCCCTTTTTCCGCCTCAGAAAATCCTCATCTTCACCAAAAAACCTTTCAAAATCATTGTTAGCTTACTGATATTGTTCCAGGCGTGTTCCTGCATGTTTTGGCCGATACTCTTGGATCAGTTTTTGTTATCATATCAACTCTGCTTATCCAGTGGTTTGGCTGGACATGGGTGGATCCGCTTTGCTCGCTTATCCTCTCAATCTTGATTCTCAGCTCTGTGTACCCTCTACTGACGAGTAGCACGAATACGCTGCTACAGGTTCGTGATAAGTGTTTACCTTCAATCCAACACATTTTGGAGTTTTGAGACTTTCTTAACACCTTATTGTGTATGAGTGCATAAATAGTTATGAGTAAACAAATAAAATTGCTTTAGGACATTCCCGATGAAGAAGAGTTCGAACATCATCTTTGTGAAGCCTTAGAGGTGAGCTTGAATTTTAACTCAAATAATTTGGCGTCTTGCTTCATGTGAAAAATTCCCTTTTGCTCTTAGGCAGTGATTAACTCTTTTTTTTCTTTGGAAAATCGGAGAATTACTTATTTTATGCTATACGGTAATGTCACTGATTGTTTTTCAGGTGGAAGGAGTGCAGTCATATTCAAAACCGCACTTCTGGCAACTGAAGAGCGATCTCAATGTTGCGTCCGTCCATATACAGGCTGCGCCTGAAGCAAATGCGCAGCTCATCCGACATAAGGTCTGCGCAGTTTCTCAATAACTTCCACGTTCCGTTTTCATAAAACCTGGGCATGCTTGTATGTTGTTAGTACTTCTGTGCCACACGAGTTTGGTAGGTGGTCTTTATTCCAATCACATGGCATAACGTTTGACCCCTTCGTCTTCCTCAGAGGCCCAAAGTGTCACTCTTGACTCAACACCACCAAACATCGCCTTCAAACGAGCTAGT